CACGACCCTACTGTAATGTTACTGGGATGCTGTTGTTCCCTGGGAGGGTCGAGAGTTCACACAGCCAGGAAGTGGCTGAAGTGGGATGCAGGCACCCCCTCCCAGCTCCCCAGCCTTTCCCACCTGGACCCAAAACCCACCCCACCCAAACTGTGCCTCCCACTGTTTCCAACCAGGTGCTGAAGAGCTGCGCCGCGGTCCCTGCGGTCATCGAGGTTCTTTTCAACTCCTACCCTCAGCTCCGCGTCTCTGAGTCCTGGAAGGAGGTGATCCCCGAAGAAGTGTTTCAGGTGAGGGGTGGCCCACTCTTCCTCTGTTAGTACAGACTGTCGTCTTACTTCCGTTCTCCATTGGGGTTTTGCGCTCATATTCAGGAAAGGATGAAACATCTGGGGAAGGAAAGAGAAGGGCAAATCAGGGCATGTCTGAGTGTTTCTGTTTTTCTTCTGGAGGCTCAGTCCTCACTCAGCCCACTGGTCTGGTTGGGCTGCTGTGGGCTGCAAGGACCACCCTGGCTTAGGAAGCTCAGGGCTCCATAACCAGTGTCCAAGGGAGGGTGGGCCACGGAGATCCAGAAGCCTGTGTGTCCACTTCACCTTCTGACATCTCAGGATACGACCGAGGCAGCTGCAGGCCCTGCATTCATACACGACAAAGTCCACAAGTGACTGTTGGTTAAGAAAGGAACTTTTTTTGTGTAGAAGCCTCTAGAAAATGGCCTCTCATGTTTTATTGACTTGAGCCCCGTGCAGACTGTACACATGCATGCTAATTCGCTGCAGCCATGTCTGACTCGGTGCGTCCCTATGTCCCTATAGACTGTAGCCCGCCAGGCTCCTCTGTCCATGGGCTTCTCCAGGCAAGAATACTGGAGTGGGTTGCCATGCCCTCCTCCAGATGATCTTCCTGACCCAGGGATCGAACTTGTATCTCCTAGGTCTCCTGCATTGGCAGGTGGGTTCTTTAGCAGGTTCTTTACCACTAGGGCCGCCTGGGAAGCCCCCTGTGCAGATGAGGAATTCGAGGAGATGACCCATATTATCTGAGATCACCCAAAACAGACTTCCCTCTGACTGGGCAGGAGCCATCCTACAGAAAAGTGCCCAGACCCGCTTTAGGTAGGATCTGGTGGTTTGGACGGTAAAGAATCTGCCTGCAATGCAGGAGACCCAGGTTCGATCCCTGGGTTGGGAAGATCCTCTGGAGGAGGCCATGGCAACCCACTCCAGTATTCTTGCCTGGAGAATCCCATGGACAAAGGAGCCTGGTGGGCTACAGTCCACGGGGTCGAAAAGAGTCGGACACGACTGAACGACTAACACACACACAAACACAAACACACACACACAGAGTGACTTACACACGCGCGCGCGCACACACACACACACCATCAGTAGCCATGAAAGGATTCCCCATGCCATCAGGGCTCTTCTCTCTGGGAAAAAGGAAAGAAGTGTGCCGGTTCCACCTGCCCAGACTGACACTCCCCGCCTTCTTTCAGATGCACCAGGCTTTCTACCGGTCCCTCTTCGCCTTGGCGCACACGCCCCGCTGTCTGCAGCATCTCTGCCGCTGCGCCATCCGGAAATCGTTTGGCAGAAAGTGCTTTTCCCTCGTGCCTCTGTTGCCCTTGCCGGAGACCCTGCAAAAGTACCTGCTTCTGGAGCCAGAAGGGGTTCTGCACTGAAACCCAGCATGTGGCCCAGGGCACGGTGCTCTTCTGACGGGCCTTGGATGGGACCTCCCACCCACCCAGTGCACAGACCTCACCCCGCCTCAGGCTCACCTGGGCGTGGAGTTGGTAATAAAAGCCCTTTCTCCCTCTCTCAGGTTGCTTGTGAGAATTGAAACTGTGAATGTCATAGAACCTGTATCACAAAGTACCTTTCCACAGCTCAGTTCAGTTCAGTGGCTCAGTCGTGTCCAACTCTTTGCGACCCCATGGACTGCAGCACGCCAGGCCTCCCTGTCCATCACCAACTCCCGGAGTTTACTCACATTCATGTCCATTGAGTCGGTGACACCATCCAACCATCTCATCCTCTGTTGTCCCCTTCTCCTCCTGCCTTCAATCTTTCCAGCATCAGGGTCTTTTCAAATGAGTCAGTTCTTTGCATCAGGTAGCCAGAGTATTGGAGTTTCAGCTTCAGCATCAGTCCTTCCGATGAATATTCAGGACTGATTTCCTTTAGGATGGACTGGTTGGATCTCCTTGCAGTCCAAGGGATTCTCAAGAGTCTTCTCCAACATCCAACACCACAGTTCAAAAGCACCAGTTCTTCGGTGCTCAGCTTTCTTTACAGTCCAACTCTCACATCCATTCATGACTACATGGACTGCCTTTCCACAGAGGTTGAAGTAAAAGGTGCATGTATCTTTCCCAGAGTTGGTCTCCCTGCTCATGATGGTTCAGCCACAGTCCTGCTGTCCCCACTCCCAGCCTTCAGACCCTCTGACTGAGGGCGGGAAAACATTACACCCCTCTTAGAGCTCACCCCTCGGGAAGACCCTGCCCCCAGACATGACAGACGTCCATACGCAGAGAGGAGGACACATGCTTCTGTAACGAGAGCCCTGCCCAGGAGCCCACTGGTGCTTCCAGGTGTATCACCACCCAGAGCCCCTCGGAGGACGCTGGCGGGGTGGTGGGCAGACACTTTGATCCTGTGAGAGTCTTCTGTCCGACGGCCCCAGCAGACCCAGCTGATCCAGCAGTGGGGGACAATTCAGGATGCCAGATACAGATGCAGGTCCGTGGCGGCTGCCCTCAGCTCAGCCTGACCATCCATAACAGGAGGAAGCTCTAAAGCCTAGGACTGGATTCAGTTCAGTTCAGTTCAGTCGCTCAGTCGTGTCTGACTCTTTGCAACCCCATGAATCACAGCATGCCAGGCCTCCCTGTCCATCACCAAATCCCAGAGTTTACTCAAAATCACATCCTTTGAGTCGGTGATGCCATCCAGCCCCTATCTGTTGTCCCCTTCTCCTCCTGCCCCCAATCCCTCCCAGCATTAGGGTCTTTTCCAATGAGTCAACTCTTCACATCAGGTGGCCAAAGTATTGGAGTTCCAGCTTCAGCATCAGTCCTTCCAATGAACACCCAGGACTGATCTCCTTTAGGATGGACTGGCTGGATCTCCTTGCAGTCCAAGGGACGCTCAAGAGTCTTCTCCAACACCACAGTTCAAAAGCATCAATTTTTCGGTGCTCAGCTTTCTTCACAGTCCAGCTGTCACATCCATTCATGACCACTGGAGAAACCATAGCATTGACTAGACAGACCTTTGTTGGCTAAGTAATGTCTCTGCTTTTTAATATGCTATCTAGGTTGGTCATAACTTTCCTTCCAAGGAGTAAGCATTTTTTAATTTCATGGCTGCAGTCAACATCTGCAGTGATTTTGGAGCCCAAAAAAACAAAGTCTGCCATTGTTTCCACTGTTTCCCCATCTATTTCCCATGAAGCGATGGGACCAGATGCCATGATCTTAGTTTTCTGAATGTTGAGCTTTAAGCCAACTTTTTCACTCTCCTCCTTCACTTTCATCAAGAGACTTTTTAGTTCCTCTTCACTTCTGGACTGGATTAACCACGTCTTTATATCTTTTATATTCTGGTGCTTTGACACCTGGGGCCTTTCGGACCGGAACTGCCCCCTGCCCCACCAGGGTTAGCCAGTTCTCAAAGACAATAAACAATGTGTCCCCACACATCCTTTTCAAATACAACTCAACCAGCGCAGGGCTCACCCCCTACCACCTCCCTGGTTCTCCTGTCCCTATCCCCCCCACCGCCACCCCAACCAGGGCCACCCAGACACCTGGGGGCAACCCCTCTGCCTCCGAGCCCACTGCAGTTACTGAGATTAGCCAGTCCTGTGCCCAGGTATCCATCCCCATGGAAACTGCAATCAAGGCTCCTGCCCGCATCTCCTTCCCCCGCCCCCACCTCCTGACCAACCCTGGTGCTCCCCCATGTGGTGTGGCCCTTCTCTTGGGAACTGTAATAAACGATCTCTTCGCTGGTCTAAAGATCTCTCTTCTCATCTGTTGGCCTTGCATGCGTGTGTGCTAAGTTGCTTCAGTCGTGTCCAACTCTTTGCAACCCTATGGGCTATATAGCCAGCCAGACTCCTCTGTCCATGGGCTTTTTCCAGGCAAGAATACTGGAGTGGGTGCGCATTTCCTCCTCCAGGGGATCTTCCCAACCCAGGGATCAAACCTGGGTCTCCTTCACTGCAGGCAGATTCTTAACTGCTGAGTCACCGGAGAAGCCCTCTGTTGGCCTTACTAGACCTCAAATATTAAACCCCATATTTTAAAACAAGGACTCTGTGAGCATCCTCTGAGGATAAGCATTGGCTCCACTTTTCTGCAGTTTGAGCCAGTGCACAGTGCAGCTGGGATGAACCTCAGGAGGGGTGGGGACACCATCCCACCGTGATAGTCTAGAAGGGCGCTTCACATTCCAGCAGATGACTGCTGTCTAAGGTGGGATGTTGTGTGCACCATGAGTGAAGCCCACTGCAGTGCTGGAGGGGACCTGGCAGGGCCACCCAGTGAGGGTGGACATCACAAAAGGAGGAGGCAGGCTGGGTCTTTGGGGATGGTCAGGTTTCAACACAGCGGGTCAGGCCAAGGGAGGCATAGGACAGCTGACCCACCCTCACCCTGCCCTTTGAGATGGACAGCTCACCTGACCTATGTAAGCACAGCTCAAGACCTCACACACACACCCCTCACCTCGGGCAGATCGCTCTCCCCAAGCCTCATCCACATAGACGATCAGGAGCCACTACTGGGTCAAAAGGAAAGTTGAACAAAGGCTGGGGTGCAGGAAAGTGCATGCACTGTGGAGGGACAGTGATTGGTCCCGAGGGGAGGGTCCCCATGCTTTCACGACTGGAAGGAGGCAGGGCTGGAGGAGCTGGGAGGCAAATCGGGAGGACCTCGGCTTCTAGATCAAGGGTTCTGAACTTCCCTGGACAGGCTGTGAGGAGCCATGGAGCAGCAGGTGAGAAGGTCAGGTCCCAGCGAGACATTACGTGTGTGCCTGCTGTCACTTCAGTCGTGTCCGACTCTGTGACCCCATGGACTTCAGCCTGCCAGGCTCCTCTGTCCATGGGATTCTCCAGGCAAGAATACTGGAGTGGGTTGCCACGCCCTCCTCCAGGGGATCTTCCCACCCAGGGATCGAACCCAAGTCCTCTGCATCTCCTGCATTGCAGGTGGATTTTTCACCTGCTGAGCCATGGGGAAGCCCCAGAGAGATACTGGCAAGTTACTTTGTCCTGGAAAGGGATGCAGTACACTGGAGGAGTCCACGGTGACACCCCAGACGTAGGGCTTCAGGTCCAGGCTGCTCCACCGAGCAAGAGGAACCATTCCTTAACCAAAATTGACTGCAGTTTGCTCAGGTGGGAAGTGAATGCATGCGCACCTCTCGGAATGGGGTAGGACTCAGCAAGATCACGCATGATAGCAGCAGGCTTCTCCGCTCTGAAGGGATCTTGTTAAAATGCGGATTCTGACTCTAGCATCCACAGTGGGGCCTGGATTCTGTGGGTCTGGGAACTTTAACATCGCTAACGAGCTTGGGTGACACCCCTGCCCCTGGGTGGTCCTACTGAGTGCACAGGGCAAAGCCTCAGAGCCAGAAGTGGTCAGGAGAAGGAATACCATAAATGGTTCCTTCTATCATTACGATTGTTTTATTATTAGAAGAAAATAGCCTAATACTGGGATAAAGACTGTAAAAACAGAAAAGCAAAGTGATGTTATTTATGAGAACAAATGAGGAAGGCAAACAGTAAGAAATACAGCCCCAGGCACCACTCAGGAGTCCTGGCCTCGAAGGATTTTGCAAATGAGAATCTGAGTGAACCTGCCGGCCTGACACGGCCTATTCTTCAAGCTCCCCTCTCCATCTCATCCTCCTCCGAGAACACTCTGGTTGTATTTCTGAAATGTACTAAATTTTAAATATGTTTTGGAGTCCCGCCACAAAGTAGAACTCTTTTAAAACCGTACCATATAGCTTTCAGGACTGTAGTTCCCTGACCAGGGATTGAACCTGCACCCTCAGCAATGAATCCATGGAGTCCTAAACCACTGAACTGACAGGGAATTCCCCATATTGACTTCACATTTCTAAAACTCTGACAAATAATGACCAATTATTACATTTCAAAAACATACATCCCCCCAAATTACTGCTTAAAAACAACATGATTCTCACAGTGAACCTCAGACACCTCCCAGTAACTGCCTGAAATTCCTCCACTGCTAAATAATTCATTTGCATTATTTCATCCCCAAGAATTTTATTGGACAGCAAGCAAGGAAATCAAACCAGTCAATCTTAAAGGAAATCAACCCTGAATATTCATTGGAAGGACTGATGCTGAAGCTGAAACTCCAATACTTTGGCCACCTGATGCAAAGAGCTAACTCGTTAGAGAAGACCCTGATGCTGGGAAAGATTGAAGGCAGGAGGAGAAGGGGGCGACAGAGGATGAGATGGTTGGATGGCGTCACCAACTCAATAGACATGAGTTTGAGCAAGCTCCAGGAGACAGTGAAGGACAGGGAGGCCTGGTGTGCTGCAGGCCATGGGGTTGCAAAGGGATAGACTCAACTGAGCAACTGACCAACAGCAAAGCAAAAACTAAAATAACTGAAAAGTTTGTGATAGTGATGACTGGGTCTAGTCCTGGCCTGTGCTCCACGTGGGAGGAAGTTCCAAAATGAAGGAGACTTGCATAATTCCACATAGATAAGAGAAAGAAAAGAGGGGAGGAGAAGGACAAGACTAAGAGAAGGAAGAGAGGAAGGAGGGAAAGAGAAAAGATATTGGGGGAGAGAAGTAAGTTAGCTGAGAAACATCTGAAACTACCTTCTGCTTTAAAGCTAGAATTATCTTAGCTGACTTCTTTTCCAGGGGAAAAAAACATACCCTGGTATTTCTTTTATTAAAGAGTAAAAATGTTTTCCATTCTTAAACAGTTCACATAGAACATCATTACTTTTCTGAGTATATTACATAAACTCAATTCCATAAGACCTAAACTTTCTTTAATTTTAAATGTAGTGTTTAATGACGCATTCACATGGTTCAAAATTCAGAAGGTAATAAAAGAGCAGATGCTCTTTCCACTAAAAAGGAAAAAGATAGCAGAGGAATATTTTCCCTCCAACTTTTTTATCTCTGGCTATACAACTGCCATCTGACCACAGTCACCCTGGTTCTAGTGACTCCAGATGTGCTAAAAAGGATTCCTGATTTATGGCCATGAGTGTATGGGACAAAAATGGTGGTGGTTTGGGGGTTATCTTAATCATCAGATGGGATGGAATTCATTGATAGTTTTTCAGACTTTAATGCCTGCTAGCAATTTTCTTAAGGAAAAAATAAAATAACTGTGAAAAACTTTGTAGCAGGGGTGAAAATACAAAATGCACACATGAGGTTCTCCGCCAACGATGGTCCTGAGAAGATTCGCCCCTCTGCAGCATGAGTCACAGACAGCCCACAGGCAGGCCGGGCACAGACAGGGCACCGTGCGATGTGCCCTCTGCCTAAAACTCTGAACACAGCCTTGGGTTCCTCTTTCTAGTGTGCTCAAAATCCATCTAATGTTAAGTTACATAATAAGCATCAATTACGCATGTTTTGAAGAAAATCAAAATGACTCTTTAAGGAGCATTTGCAGATCCCAGTAACTGTATATAAGCACCACAGTTGCCATCTTCAAAATAAACCTTGTTTTCATGTTGATAGGGCAGGCTGTTGAACTTTGGCAAAGGACACTTAACCCTCTACAAAAACAGTGTAAAATACAGGCTTGGAGAATGAGCTGGTCTGCTCCAGTGACCGGTCCTGAGGGCGGATGTCTGAGAGAGCTTAATCACTGCAATTGTGGATGTTATTAGCTTGCCAAGTGCTTTTCATCTCTTAAGGGCTGCCCAAGGACCAAGTGATAAACCCGGAATATTGCATCTTTTATTCCATTATTTCAAGAATAAATTATTCCTTAGTCAAATTTTCTATGTGCATTTTGGATATTCATAAGTCACAAAGTTTCAACTAGGATCAATACTGCATCTTATTTTTGGCTTTCAGTAGGCATTTCAAACCCCTGGGCTTGTCTTGAAATTGTCAGCATCTTTCTATTTTAAAACAAAAATTAATCTCATTACATTGCTAAAATAAGCCTAAGGTCAGTTTCTAGGATCCAGCGGAAGGATTCCAGTCTTGAAACTTATTTTCATGAAGTCCTGCAGGTGGCGCCATAAGCAAACGGTCTTACCCTGCCCACCCACCGGCTCTCCCCAGAATTAAAAAGAGAAGAAAACAAGATTTTGACTCACAGGATAAAGGGGAGGAGGGTATAGGAAAACTATAGAATCGTGACATATTATATAGAATTGTGCTGCTATAATTTTTAAAAATCGTAATTAAAATATTGATTATGGCGTTGCCTACTTCCTTTGTATTAAATATGCGCATTTTATAGGCAATGTGTTTCTAAATAAATATAATTTTAAGTTGACTCTTTTATGATGCCATAATGACAGCCCAATCCTCATTTGTGTGTTCAACGTGCCTTTAACAAAATTATACATTCACCACTGCGATGTAACTAGCTGGGTTTTCAGCCTTCATCTCATCTTCCAGAATGGTATTTCTTCCGTCCTAACACTCTGCTTAATCACTCCAATAAAAAGAGTAGATTTCTTTGTAATGCAATTTGTAAGCAATAAACATGATTGAGAATGCAGTATTCGCTGTCGACTATGTTTAATGCAGGGTTTTAATTCGGTGTGTAATTATTCATTCAGTAGGCACTTTTCCCATTCACATATCTTTTCCCGGATCTGGAAAAAGTTGGTTAAGTTGGGAAAACATCGGGGCAACAGGACTTCCTCCCACTTTGGGCAAGCAGGAGTTTGATACAGATGTTACAAGAAAAGACATTTTTCTTTTATCTGCTAAAAACAGGAGGTCACATTAACTCCTCGTACAGACATAAAAATGTGATTATGGGTTCTAAACAGAACGCAGTGGGCTCCTAGTTAACACAATGAGATTTCTAGGAAGTGATGCATAAATTCTTCAAAAATGACACATTTCCACGTTTCATTCCAATTAAATTACTGAGGCAGCTAACAGCGATGAGCACAGAGAACGGGGGTAAAATGAAGGTTTTCTTCTTGTAACTGTACTCTGTGAAAGTATATTTTTATGAGAAGCAGTTAATATTAAGCTATTATTTTTCAGCTGCGCTGGAAGGGATATCTCGACTCTTTCTTGTCGAGCTCTCCCTGGAAGAGGCTGCTCCTTTGTTTCTTGGGTTTGTTAATAAGAAGAGAGAATTGCTTCGCTGGCTTCGCCATCCCCCCCCCCCCCCCACACCCAGGTCTCTGGAGCGAAAGGGCCCAGCCCGAAAGGGGTCCCGAGTGTCCGTCCCCAGGGTCGGGCCCGATACTGCCCACAGGCCTGCGGCCGCGTGACTCCAATATGCCCGGAGCTCCACTTGGAACCGCGAAGCGGGGCCGGGGGTGAAGGGTGCCCGGGACCCCCCGCGCCCACCCGCGATCCGCGAACACGCGGGGCCGGTCCCCCCCCCCCCCCACGCCCGGTGATCCACGTCTCCGGATGATCAGTGTCCTGGGACCGGCCGCGCGGGGGCTTCTTAGCCTAGCGGTGCGGGCAGGCGTGTCTGGACGCGGGGGAGACCTGTCTGGGCCGCTTGGAGTGCCCCCCACCACCCAGCCCCGCCAGGAGAGCCTGGATGCGTGGGGCCCCCGCCCCGGGACTTCTGGGTTCCGGGCTGCTCCCCCGCAAGCGAGGCCGGAGGAGCGCGAGGCCGCCCGGAGGGAGGCGGGAGGGGGCGTCGGAAGACAAAAGGCTGTGAAGCTTTAAATTCAAAAAAAGATGTTTTCGAAAGCCTCGTCCTGGGGTTTGAAAGGCGCTCCGAGGACAGCGGCGGAGCGATCCCAATCAGAAATGCGATTTGAAGTCCTAATGAACTTGATTGCGTGAACATTTATAATCCCCCATGGCCCTAAATGAAATCAGATATAATCAGAAGATACAGGGAAGGGAGTGTTTACAGCCGACGCCGGGCGGCTGCGGGACGGGGAGACGCGGCCCCGGTATTGATGTCGAAAATGATGGATAACGCGGGAATGGCAAATATACTATTTGTCTAATGGCTCGGCAATTAAATTCCCCTGTAAATGACCCATGCCTCATTTCATCCTAATCTATGGAATTTTGATTGAATTCGTCAGCTCTAATTGAAAAATACTGCACTTTAATGTCTGCATTGCAGTTTCAGGACGAGAGTGGTTTTAATGAGACAGTGCCCCCCTGACCCGGGAATATTTGAGACTTTTATTCGGAATTTAAGGCCAGAAGATTGCTCAGCTGAGCGCTGCGATATCCGCCGCGGTATCCACGTCCATCGATCTCCAGACGCGATTTAATAACCACACTTGGGGATAAATGCGGCCCCGACCCTCGCACCCATGTGGCCACCAAGGGCGGCCCATCCTGAGATAAGAGCGGAAGGGCCTTTAAGGTGATGCCGTGGCGCGCCAGCGGAGGGGGGCTTCCAGGGAGGGGCCTGTTCCCGTCCTGGCCCCCATGCCCAGTCGCTCTCCACCCCCCACCCCCAAGCCCCGGGCCCCATCACTGACCACGGCCTGCGAGACTTCCCTGGCCAAACCCAGGCGTCCCTCCCGGAGGAGGTGGCCCAGCTGGCTGCGACCCCCGCGCACCAGGAAATGAGGGCGGCCTCCTACGCGCTTTATATGCAAATGACGAAGCGAAGCCATCCCTAAGAAATTAGCTACTTGCCGGAGCATATTTACTAGATTGAAATGAATTAAAGAGAAACACTTTAAGAAGTCGTGCAAACGAGATAATTGGGCCACATTAAAACTGGAGATGTTTGCTCCTTTCTCCACACTCTCCCCCCAAAAAAATCAAGTTGAGGGGGGCGGTAAAAATCGCCCCCTACACACACACACCTGAAACGAGACGATCAGGCTCCCACTGCTCAGAGAACGGACGTCTGGAAGTGCGAGGGGCTGGTCCCCGTGCGGACCTGACGGGGCGGCCCTCGCGCCCGTGTCTGGGCAGCCCGGCTCCCCGGCTCCAAGGGGCCGATCCCGACCTCAGCCCGCAGGGCGCGCGCTAGAGCCACGTTCCTGCGGCGAGAGCCAACGCAGGGCGCCGGTCTGCCCTCGGGCCTCGGCGGGCGGCTGCGTCCCGCCCCCCAGCTTCGTCCACCTCGGTGTCCCTACCGGTGGGATCAGGATGGGACCCTGGGGAGAGGCGTTTGGATGGAAGTAAGAGGCTAGAATACTCGGCTGGCCTCTGTGTTAGTGGCTCAGTCGTGACTCTTTTGCGGCCCCATGGACTGTAGCCCTCCAGGCTCGAGAAGACTGGAGTGGGTAGCCAGGCTTTCTTCCAGATTTTCCCGACCCAGGGATCGAACCTGAGTCTCCCGCAGGTTGCCGTCCCCCTCCCCCAAAGAGGAATGTGTTTGAGCTTTGTTCGTTTAGCTCACAGAGTTTACAGATCTTTCATCTAAAATGAAATAATCTGAAACGACGAGAATTCGTCTCCCTGGGAAGGCGGTGCCCAGCGCGCCCTCCTAACGCCGAACTTGGTGATAAGCGCGCCCTGCAGAGGGACCCTCCGAGACCCGGGGCTGTCGGCGCCTGCGCCTCCGCCTCCGCCTCCGCCCCCGCCTCGACAAAGAGTAGGACGGCCTGCCGACCCCGGGGCGGCGCTTCGGCACCTCTCTCCACCCCGGGCAGGCGTCCTGCGTCCTTAAATACAGTCCTGCGTCCTGACCCATCGGTCAGAGACTGCCCCAAGTTGAGACTGTCACTCTGAGCGCACAGCCTTGCGCCCCTGGACGCCCCGCGTGCACCCAACACCTACATCACTCCGGAGGCTGGGGGGCCGTGCTTGAAATTTACAGACACCCCCACCCCCACCCCCACCCCCCAACCATCCTCTGCGGCCCAGGCGCCCTGCCACCATGTGCTACCCGATCTACTTGGGTCCCTACGACTACCCGTGACAAAAGCAATCTATTAATTATCTGCGCTTTAGGGATGCAGTCAGACCGTTGGTGAGACAGAGCAGGCGTTCCCGCCCATTACGCAGATGGAAAAACAGAGGCCGGAGTGGGCTCAGAGGTGCATCCAGACCCTATAGGCCCAGATGTCAGAGGGTCTCTTATCCTTTCGGTTTCTAGGCCCTGCTCAGGGTGAGTCAAAGAACCAGGAGAACTTTACATGGACTTTAAAGAGAGTCGACGTGGGTTTTCTGTGATCACGTCCAAAAATCTGATCATATTTCTGAATGCCTTGTGTAATCACGGAGGTCTGATTTTTACCCCTCTCATTTGTGACAAAGTTTTCTCTTGTAGCCTAGACGTCTAAAATGGAAAGAAATTGAGACTTTTTCTTGTGCAACTGAAGCCATGAAAAATACAGACTTCTCAGACCTTCTAATCCTACAAAAGGGGAGCCGCCTTCAATTTCCTTGGAATCTCAGAGCCCAAACAAGCCCTAAAGCAGATGTCATTATCCGCATGGTCCATAGGCGGCGCTCTAGATCCCTGAGCGCTCTGCACACTCGAGGTGTTTTGCAGGCTAATAAGTTTGAAGTTTTGAAGCCTTAAGTAAAACTGGTTCCTGCCTTTTCCTCGTGGATTTATTAAATATATGGTACTTCTTTGACTTCTGTTTGCAGATATGAAATAACCTTGTTAGGTTATTAAAATTAAATTGTCAATGCAAATTTTGCTTCCACAATAAATTACTCACTTCTTTACATGTTAAAGCATAAATTTCCAAACAACTTACAATATGCTGAACGCATTGAATTTTAAGGGCTTGGGGGTTAGAAAGAACGTTAAGAACATTAAGAAGTCTCCCCTCTCCTATGTTTTCTGGGGTTTTCTTGTTTCATTTTGGTTGCAGTTTAAGTGGGTAGGAGAGAAATTTGAGGACAGGGAAAATAACAACCAAGAGATAAGGTAGCCCCAAGTGTCCAGGAGGAGAGTTGAGGGGCAGATGACTGGAAGGGGGCCCACCCGCCCAGCCTGCACCTCTGCCGGGCTGTGGGGTCTGTGACTGTCCTCCATGGCTGCTCCGCTGTGGCCTGGTTGGAACAGGCAAGGGACACGGATGGAAGCCCCCAGAAGCAGCCTTAGAATCCCCTGCAAGGGGCAGTAGCCTCAGCATGGCCCTGCTCAGTACCTGGGTGTGAAGGAGCTACAAGAATAAATTACCCCCAAGGGGGGGTTGTTGTGCAGGATAAATACAACATAGTGAGGTATGAACAGCCTGTCTTTAACACCCTATTCATCATTCAAAAACAAAACACTCTTTCAACAAAGCCACATATGCAAGGAGCAACACACCCCAGGAAAAATACTTTCATTTCCTGCAAAACGCAGAAATGTACCCTAGGGAAGCGTGGGGGACAGCTGTCTGAAGTTCCCTGGGTTTTCCCCACTGGGTCTCAAAGAACCGCACGCCTCTCCCCATTTTCCTGTCTGGTGTTCCCCCGAAATGAAAACCCAGGCTGGGGTGGGTGTGGGCACGCAGGTGGGGCGCGGGTCCACTCTCTACCCTGCCTCTTTGTTCCTCCAGTCTCTGGAGTTGGGCAACTACAGACTGCACCCCGAAGGAGAACATAATTGCTGATAGCGAACTTATGCAAACTGGGCACTCTGTAGGTTTTCAGAAGATCAATGGAGGAAACTCAAAGAGATGCTTCTGTTTCAGAGGCCAGGAGATCAGCATTTGCAGTTCTCTCTCTTCGATCCCCACCCAGGAGGGGCTGCATATTGGGGGGATGTGAGGTGGCAGGTTGTAGAGATTTGTTTAGAGACCTGCAAACAAGGATTGCCTTCTTCCAGTACCACGCCAGCCTTCTCAGGCAGTGGCTCCAGGCATTGAAGACAGAGTGTGTGTGTGTGTGTGTGTGTGTGTGTTTGAACCAGGAAACAGTGTAGGCTTGTGTGTGTGTGTGTGTACCATGAGGACAGTGTGTGTGTGTGTGTATGTGTGTGTTTGAACCAGGAAACAGTGTAGGCTTGTGTGTGTGTGTATGTGTACCATGAGGACAGTGTGTGTGTGTGTGTGTGTGTTTGAACCAGGAAACAGTGCAGGCGTGTCCCAGCCTGCCAAACGCAGATGACCAGGAAACTGGCTCACCCTCTTGGGGCCCATGACTTACCCTCCGGTGGATGAGCAAAGGAGCCCAGGAAGGCGAGGATTCAGAGTCTTGGGGGTGGGGGTGGGCTGGGGTGGGCTGGGAGCCAGGGTTGAGGCCTGTGGCCCGCCTCCACGGACTGCCCTTCTCATGGGCTCTGTTTCTTGGTGGCTTCCAAGTGCCCCCCTCACAGGTGAGTCCAAGATCTACACTGGGCTTCTCCAGTGTGGAAAGGATCCACCCCAGCGATGCGAGGCTAAGCCCTCTCACTTCCTGGCCCTGGAAGCCGGGTGCCCTACGGTTAGTGAGGTGTTCCTCTTTACCTTTTCAGAGGGCCTCCGCATCTACTGCGTTATCTCCATGTAATGGTTGATTATAATCAAACAGCTCTCTCCCCCCCTCAGCCCACACCCTCTCCTGTCCTCCAGTAGGAAACGTCTGTCATTTAAGACAGACCTTGGAGAATCAGAGCTGTCCTTCGGGAAAAACCTCAGTGGAGCTGGGTGGGTCAGTTACAGACGTACCTACCCTTGAGGTTGCAAGATGAGCTTATTGAGAAGCAGACTTTTTACAACGACCTGCCCCCCCGGAAATCAGGGGAGGGATTCACCAGGAGGGGCAGAGGCCGTGCTAAGTCTCCCTCCCCATTAGGCCAACATCCCTCCCCTGTTTACAGCCATTGCCCTGCCCTGTCCTGTGACATCCTTTCTGGGTCACAGTTCCTTAATCGAAGGGGGCGGCAAGCAGAGGAAACGCAGCCCTGCTTTGCAAATATCTCCGCAGAAGAGGAGAGACGAGTTCCGCCTGGGAGCATCCCCGGTTTTCCTTCCGTCTCTGTAGAAGCTGAACTCAGAGCGGCCCCCTTGATGTGGTTGGCGGTTGATCCAAACGCTCCCTTGCTCCTTGCAATGCGGTTTCCAAAGGGTTAAATGGATGAACTCTAGGTAAACCTCGTCCCCTTTAAAAGACAACACCCCTGCAGGGGGTCGGGGCCCTCCAGGGGTGGCAGCTGAGGCCCTGGTTTGGGAGGCCCGGGAGGCCCAGAGACTCCAGTCTGGAGTCCCTGGACTGGGTCTCCCGGGACACAGGGCCCCCTCCGGAACGCTGGAAGCGGAGGACACTCTGGCCATCGGTGGCTTCCCACTTGAGCATCAACTGGACGCTGGCTGCGGCCGGCCCAGGCCCGTCACTGTGGTTCCTCCGCCTGCCAGGACAAGGCGGCAGGGATGGGAGGGGATGGGACGGAGGCGGACAGCAGCTGACCCCGGCGTTCCGGGAGGGGTGCCCGTCCGGCGGTTCCCAGCCCAGGCTGGCGCACCTCCTCACCCCTCGGTGCCCTCTGCCCGCCTCCCCGGGCCGCTGCTTCTGCGACCGAGGGATTAGCATCTTTGTGAAGTCCCCGCAAACAATGCCCCCCCTGTGCGGGGAGATGAAAAGTCCGGCGCCGGGTGGCGGGGCGCGTTTGAAGTCCCCGAAAGGTGGGGCCGCGGGGATCCGAGGGGGCGGCTGCGTGGAGATGAAGGCAGGTGAAAAGTGCCGCGCGGCCTGCGCCCGCCTTCGCAGCGATCCCAGTCCTGGGATTCAGGACTGCCGTGGCGGGAGCCAGCCCCCCGGGAACCCAAGCGCGCTCTACTCCCCGCGCCCCAGGCCCCTGCCCCGCAACTACCGCCCTCCGGCCGGCTCCCGGGCAGGCCTCCGCCCGATGCGTCGTCCTCAGAGCTTGGAACCCCAGGACGGCCGGGCTCAGTGCCCGCCGAGGAGCCCCTTTGCGCCGGCCTGGGTGCTTCCACCGAGATGCGCCGGCCCCGGGCTTCCAGGGACAGCGTGGCAGGCACTCCGTTACCCCCTCGGCGGTCATGAGACTCCCTCTCCAACCTTCAGGGCTCTTCCGAAAAGGAACCAGGACCCCTGCCTGCGCCCTTGGACGCCGAGACCCTGGCTCAGGAGTCTAGGCCGACGTGGGGTGCCAGAAACCTGGGTCTCCCGGCGTTCGCAGCCCGCGCCGGAGGTGCGCCGTCGGCGCGTCTGCGCCGGGAGCCCCGGAGCTCCCGGGCGGCGCAGGAGCCCCCAACCCACCCAACCCTGGTCCCCAGATCCCACCCGGGCTCGGCTCGAGGGCCACGCGGCCGTGGCTCCGCGCGTTTCTCCGCTCTGGGGTGGCGAGGGCGGCGCAGGTGTGAGGGTCAGGTTCCCCTCCCCCCCCCCCCCGCAGGGCCACGGGGAACAATTTCCAACTCTTCCAAGGATATGCAAAAAAAAAAAGAAAAAGGAAATGTCTTCACGTTTCTGGTCGGCGGTTTTGTTTGTGCAGTTTTGAAGGTGGGGACACAAAGCAAAACTTTCTACCTAAGAATGCCGCTGCACACACGGTCCTGTATAGTGTTTCTTCTTCAGGGCGCTTTAGGAAGAAAAAAAAAAACAACCCGTCCTGCTTTCTGCAGGGCCAAGGAGCAGAATAATGAAACCAAAGACTTTTATTTTATAAACCACTTGATCTTTGCTTGGGAAACTCTATTAATTGAATGGGTTTGCCTTTTTTGCCAGTCCCCTTTATCATTATTTATGGGCTTTAAATTGTTTAAAGTTCCCTTGACGTTCAATTTACAAGTTTGGGGACTTTTTTTGTTCTGCCTTTTGTCCTGGAGAAAGACATCGTGTTGGAAGTGCTTTGAAAAGCCAAACATGAGAGGTTGGCAATGAAAGGGAAGCGGGCGAGATCCCTTTTAATTCCGTCCTGTTGGTGAATGGCTCTTTTACATAATTGCAGGAGCTATTTCAAAGCCAGCCAAGGGCTGACTTCACTTAGAACCACATGGAGTCTATTTTGGGCTTTCAGATTTAAAAAAAAAAAAAGGCTGAATAAAATAGTTAAAAAAGATGAGGCTTCAATGCTTTCTGCTACTTGCAAATTGGTGTGTCTGATGGGGAATTTTACACAAGCACCCCTTTGTAAGTTCGTCTTGGGCTTGGGAGGGACTGTTCTGGGTTAGCTGGGTGTGAATCCCAATTGCCCTTCCATAAATAAAACCCATCCCAAGCTATTTCCCAACTATTGCCAGGAGCAAGGGCTGCGGCAATGACCAAACGATCAGGCCACTCAAAGTCCCTATAAATAAAAACAACGTGGTTGCCCGAGAAACCGGCCTGAAGCCTGGGACTGGGCGCCGGGTGGGAGCGCCCTGCCCGCCAGGCCCGCGGGCTTCTCCGCTCCCTCGGAGACCCGGGACTCCCACTGCCTTCTCTCCACGACCACCCGCGACCTCGACCCTGGCAGCATCGTGACAGCGCGGCGGTTCGCGGTGCTTCCTCCTCCGGGCTGGACTCGGCAGGCCACCGCAAGTCAGCGGCATGAATATTCATTTACTTGTGCACTGAGCATTTTATACTCAGGCTCCATCCATACACCTGCGTGCAAAAGCTGACTGGGCCAGCCCCGAAGCGTGGCGACAACTTAATTACCATCACATTTACTGACGTCTGATGTTTTGTGGCCTAATACGGTCTTGACACCAGCTTGGCACCGGCCGAGGAAAGTGTCCAGGGGCTGGGCCAACTTCATCCCGGCGGGAGTTTCCCCTGGAAAAGAAGTTCGCTGAAGTTAACTGGAGTTGGAGGACTCGGATCGCCCTAAGGCAGCATCTTTCGGTCTTCCTCACCCGAGAAAGTGGGGCGGGGGCGGGGGCGGAGGAGGGACTCTTACAGGAAAGTTGCAAAGATGTGTGCCGGACGGTTTTCCCGCGCAGCCTGGGCCGCTGAATTACCGAGGGCTCTGCAGTTTGAGGCAGTTGCCAGCTAGGCAGGTCGGAATCCGAAGGATGGCTAAGCCATGTACCTGTCTCTCGCTGCCCATAAATCTCTCCACGAAGCGGAGGAAAAATTCTAAAGGCTTTTATTATCCACTCTCCCCACGCTCTGAACGCTTTGCAGGTTGCTGAGGTGCCCCGAATGAATCTTGTTAATCACGGTGAAACACAGGGATCCTTTTATGACGCCAACAGTCGTTTTCTAAGCAGTTAAGCATTAGATGAGAAAATATGACTGCATTGCATTCCAGAAAAAGCACACTAGTAAATAAAAATTCATATCGATGAGACTTCTCTGAACTCACTAATAAAAGGAGATTAGTATTATAACCTCTATAGTCGATACTTTCCACGGCAATTTATGGAGGCAAATAATATACCATCAAATTGTTTCAAGTGGACTTATAATTCAACAGACCTAAATCTTCTTGCTGAAGTTTAAAGGCAGAATGATCACCAAAATAATCAAAGGCACCTCCGTTTCTCAGAGGGTAATCAAAAGACGGAAGTCCATAGAACAACGTATTTATGCCAAAAGAGGAAAGTGGATGGCAAATTTGTTAAAATGAGCAACAGCTTATACAGACATGCCAGTGTCAAGCAGCGAAGGGACCCGGCTGTATCAACGTAAAACAAGCAAGGAGTCCGCGCGTTTTTTCCCCTTAGTATTCAAAAAACAAGGTAACCGTTCCCAAGACAGTATGTCTGTTAAGTATCTCATAATGAGAGGCAGTATTTATTATGCTCATAAAGAAATCAGCCTTTTGCCCTGGGCTTCGATTTTTTCTTTTTTTCTTTCCTTCTGGTTCTTTTGCAGGAGTGAAGAAAGGACGTGCTTACAGAGCCTACACATGCCTCCTTCCCCATGCCTCCATCCCAACAGGAATTCATTTTCCCTCGCTCCGCCTAAGCCACCTCGGGGTCTGGGCGTGAAGGGAGTGGAGGCAATACAGGCAGCGTCCTAATGAATTCCTTTCAAGCCGCCTGCTGCCGGAGCCATCTATTACTGCGGCCTGGAGTGGGGAAACGCGCCGGAGACGTCTTTGTCCGGGTGGTGGTGGGGCGGGGGGCGGGGGCGAAGAAAAGGGCAGCAGGCAAAGGGGCCAGCGAGTTTTCTCAGCACTCCGGGGCGCTGAGGAGGCACCCTCCCCTCGCTCCTTCAGGGCCCGTTGGGTGGGCAGCGGGTCCCCGACCAGACTCCCGGCTGAGATGGTGGTCCGGAATTAAGACGTCCCCCCGAGGGGCCTTCAGGTTAAAGCCGGAGAAAGAAGAGCGAGAAAGAAGAGCGTCAAAGAATCGGGTCGATAAATTCATAAAGATCGATTTATCTTTATCTCCCAATTAAATGTGCTTGTAAGTGATACATAACACACGTCCAACACGGGCCAACTCCCCAACCACTAGCTCCTTGGCGTGAGCTGATTTTTAATGACCGGCATAACAATGCCCTCTCTCCTCTCCTCCCGAGGTCCGGGGCCTGTCGGCCGTTTCGGGCAAACGTTTAGACCCGGGAAGTAGGAGCTGAGGCCCTGGAGGCGCGTGGAAGCCCCGCGCGCGCTGGCGCACTTTGCACCGTCTACCCTTGCCACAAAACGATTACATTTTAAAACGGAACACAAGAGCTGAAAGTTTGTGTTTTTACTATGCTCAAGGGGATAAGAACTTTCCTGGCACCTGCTCCCTCTCCGCTAATTCCCCTACTCCCAAATTCTGGGTTTTGGGTTTGTTTTTTTTGTTTTGTTTTGTTTTGTTTTTGGTTTTTTTTTTTTTACCGTTGTCGAGACAGGGAAACTATCCTGAGGGAACGGGCTCCATCCTGCAGTAGGCAGAGGGGAACCGCGCGCCCTCGAGTCCTCGCGCTGGAAACCCGGCGGTGGCGCCGGGGTGAGCGCTCCCTCCGTTCTCAACGTGCTTAATTAGCGCCTATTTACAAAACGCAGCTTTTATTTGAGCAAACATCATAAAGCTTTCATCAGGATAATCTCACGTTATACAATCCGGCGGCGCAGCAACTCCCCCCTTCCTCCCCGAGGATGGAGCAGATAAAGGACTCGCTTTATTATCATAATTATCGTGGCTGTTATTTTGGTGCGCGCCGGCAAAGTGTGTAAATAGGTGCGATGATTAAGAATGTCATGAAAAATGAGAAGGGATCGCTCGCGGGCGGGCCCGGCTCGGGATGGGGGAACCGGGCACCTCCCCGCGCCGCTGGGGACGCCGGGGCGCCGTGAGGAACCTGGAGAGTTCCCCGCAGCGGACAAGGGGTTGCCAGCTCCGGGCAGGCGCCCTAGGGGGCGGATCTGAAAGGGCAAGGGCCTCGCCCCCAACCCAGGGAACCTCGCCCGAACCCTGGGCGCAGCAGCAGCAGCAGCACCCAGCAGGTTTCCTTCCCATGCATGTATAAAAGAAAGAAAATAACCCGCGGTTTAGCCCCGAATGCTACCCTCGGAGGCCTCCCCGCCTGAGATGATGTCGCCGAGACCCGAGTTTCGAGCCTCGGAGGTGCCAACCGCCCCTTTCAAGTTTGCGCGGAGCGGGCCGGGTGCACACGCTCCGGCTCGCGGGCCCGCGGGCTGCGCTGGCAGCACCCACGGCCAGCTCGCGGCCAGTCGCGGTGGAAGGGGCGGAGTCCCGAATTCGCCCCGCCCACTCTTGGTGGTAGCCAATCGGCGGCGGCTCCAGGCCCCACGTGAGCGGAGCCGGGCCCGGCAGCAGGCAAAATGTGAATGAGAAAGAAGAGCGCGATTTAAAGGTGCTGGCGGCGCCCGCGGAGGACAAGTGCGCCGGCTTCGCGCGCGCTCCCCCAGCGGCTCGCCGGAGGCGACCGACAGCCGGCCAGACAGACGGACGCGCCGACGGCTGAGGGCCCGGGCCGAGGGCCGTAGGAGCGACACGCTAGGGCTCCGGACGTGGGGCCCACGGCGGGCAGCAGCTCCGGAGAAGCCCTCGCGGGGAGGGCCCGGGCGCCCGCTCCACTCCAGGGCTCACGGCCTCACCGCCCGCACCCGCGCCTGCCAGCGGCATGCAGCGAGCCCAGGACTGACGGGGGAGGGGGGCACCTGCTTTCCGGGTCCCGCTCGTGACTCCAAGCTGCGCTCCCGGCGCCCGGGGGGCTTCCAGGCGGCGGCGCGGCGCGGGGACGTTTCGCCTCTCGCGGGCCTCTACAGAGCGCGTCTATGAGCGCAGCGTTCCCGCCGTCGCTGATGATGATGCAGCGCCCGCTGGGGAGTAGCACCGCCTTCAGCATAGACTCGCTGATCGGCAGCCCGCCGCAGCCCAGCCCCGGCCATTTCGTCTACACCGGCTACCCCATGTTCATGCCCTACCGGCCGGTGGTGCTGCCGCCGCCGCCGCCGCCGCCGCCCGCGCTCCCCCAGGCCGCGCTGCAGCCGGCGCTGCCGCCCGCGCATCCGCACCACCAGATCCCCAGCCTGCCCACAGGCTTCTGCTCCAGCTTGGCCCAGGGCATGGCGCTCACCTCCACGCTCATGGCCACGCTGCCCGGCGGCTTCTCGGCGTCCCCTCAGCACCAGGAGGCGGCCGCTGCCCGGAAGTTCGCGCCGCAGCAGCTGCCCGGCGGCGGCGGCAACTTCGACAAGGCGGAGGCGCTGCAAGCCGACGCGGAGGACGGCAAAGGCTTCTTGGCCAAGGAGGGCTCGCTGCTGGCCTTCTCCGCGGCCGAGGCTGTGCAGGCGTCGCTCGGTGAGTCGGCGGCGCGCGCGACCCGGGCGCGGGGGCGCGCCAGCTCCGGGTTCCCTCGGGGGAACGGAGGGAACGGAGGCCATGCCCCCGTGGGACCCCCGCCCCCTGCTCCGCCGGCCAGAGGAGCGGGAAGATGGGGCCGAGCTGCGCCGGCGGGGGCGGGGACGGGGGCGGGGGGCGTCTTTTAGAGCCACGCAATAAGTGGAGGGTGGGGGGTAAGAGGGGCGTGCATTTAGCGCCCCGGGGCCAGCTTCTGCGCGGAGCCGCAAACCTCTCCGCCGGCGAGGTTGGCGGAGTCTTGCACGCCGCCCAGCCCCCGGCGCTGTGACCTGGGGTCCCGGGTAGGTTTCAGCCTCGAGGGCAAGAGGGTTGGGCTGCGCATCTCTGCAGTGCGTGTGCCTGAGGGCGCCCAGACCTATTAACCCCCTTTAGCGGGCTTGTCGCTTGCCTGGGGGAACGGCGTGAGTGTGCTGGGGTGTCTGGTGGGAACTTCTCCTAAGGCTGCGAAACTTCCCTTTGACCAAAACCCGACACTGTCTGGGGTCTGCACGCCCTCTGCGCCCCCCCTCCCCGGCTCTGGGTACGGAGAAATTGAAGTTCACAGAATTTTCAGACTGGGTGGGGGGTGGGTGGGTGGAGAGGGGGGAGGCAGGATGAATGGTGAACTCCCCCTCAGCCCTCACCCAGCCCCCTCCCCGGCGACAAAGAGGACGCTTTCTCGGGCCTCGCGCCGCCTGCTAACTTCTGCCTTAAGCTGCGGGAGACTGGGAGGGTGCGGAGGAGGCCCGGCGGCCCCTTGAGTGATGGTTCTGGGCAAAGGGCCGTCGCCTGTACTGTCGCCTCCTCTCCCCTGAGCTTTCTCACGCCTCCCCTCCCCTCTCTACCCCTCAAAGGCCAGGAAATCACAATGTGTTAATGTCATAGAAAGACAATCCGCTAAGGGGGGTGGGTGGGGGGAAAATGCCCGAGTGACGGTGGGAACGGGGAAGGAAGGCCAGTGTGCGAAATGTAATAAAACGCCGTTTGGTTTTGCTTTCAGTCGGGGCTGTCAGAGGGCAAGGGAAAGACGAGTCAAAGGTGGAAGACGACCCGAAGGGCAAGGAGGAGAGCTTCTCGCTGGAGAGCGATCTGGACTACAGCTCGGATGACAATCTGACTGGCCAGGCGGCTCACAAGGAGGAGGACCCCGGCCACGCGCTGGAGGAGACCCCGCCGAGCGGCGGCGCCGCAGGCAGCACCACGTCCACGGGCAAGAACCGGCGGCGGCGGACTGCCTTCACCAGCGAGCAGCTCCTGGAGCTGGAGAAGGAGTTCCACTGCAAAAAGTACCTCTCGCTGACCGAGCGCTCGCAGATCGCGCACGCCCTCAAACTCAGCGAGGTGCAGGTGAAAATCTGGTTCCAGAACCGCCGGGCCAAGTGGAAACGGGTGAAGGCCGGCAATGCCAATTCCAAGACAGGGGAGCCCTCCAGAAACCCCAAGATCGTCGTCCCCATACCCGTCCACGTCAGCAGGTTCGCCATCAGAAGTCAGCATCAGCAGCTGGAGCAGGCCCGGCCCTGAGGGCCCAGGGCGGACCACGGCCTGGACCACCGTGGAGAAGCCACAGCTGCGGGGAGGGAACCCATGGTGGGCTGCACCATGTCTGAAGCAAAACGCAGAGTCACCCCCCAACTTTGGACATCCCAAGCAAATTGAGAGTATATCCATTAACGAGCTCGAAAGACTGCTTTTGAAGGAGCTACAGCTACACCTGGAAGACACACTAAAATATTTATTATTCTATCCTACTTTGTACATAGATATCTATATAGATTGGATCTCAGCTGCCGTATTTTGAAAGTTATAGGACCAAACTGCCCAGTAACCTCCTCCACCTACATTCCCTGAAGAAAACAAAGCCTCCGCTGCAACTTGCCACGCACAGCAGCCTCCTTTCCACACTTTTCCAAAGGTAAACATCACGTGCAAGGACAAACATTGGGGTCACCACTTATTTTTGTTTCTGTTCTGGCTTTTTTAGTTGACTGAGAAGCAGACGTTTTAGGGGGCAGCCTGGAAATTCGCTTTGCTTTGGTTTTGCCTGGCTTTCTTTCCTGGGTTGCATATCCTATGAGCCCTGTCTGAAGCACGTCTCCATTGTGTTTAATTTATTTCAATGTAGTTTATTTTTCCTATAAGTTATGACATTAAAACAATCTCAGTCTTGTGAATAATAAAAAAAAAAGAAAAGGAGCGAGAAAGAGAGAAAAAAAGACCAATTCTTGGGTCTCATAAGTATGTCTAGATTTGACTGTTTAGAGGCACCCTCCTGCCTGCCCTGGCCGAGCAGCTGGTCTGAGACCAGCACCGCATGAACACCCCCTGTCCGGGGCCTCCTCAAGCTGGAGGGACCAGAGCCACCCAGCAGCTCACCAGGTTTTAAATAGAGCAATAGCTCCAATTGGGTTACCAATTCGAGAAAACCTAATTTCCACCTTAGACATCTAACCTCTTCCCTTCTGTTCAGCCTAACCAATATCTGGGAAGCTGGCCAACTTTGGCCAGAGGAGGAGGTGGGCGCCGGAGGAGGGTCAGTGAGTGCGGGTATGGGTGGCTTTGCATAAAGTCTTCATTCTCTAAATCGACGACCGCCTGGGTAGGGGACGCGTTTCCCTCCAAGCATCCCCCGACCTGAAAAGAAGCGGTGCCCGCTCGCGGCGCAGTGCCCAGCGCCGAGAGATCAGGTTCGGGGTGCGATCTTCCCGACTGGGGCAGAAACCCAGCTAGCGGAGCCGGCTTCCGGGCAGCGCGGGACTGGGAGGCGGAGGCTGGCTGCGGGCGCCCGCGGGCCGGCACCTCCCTCTCCGGGCGGGGTCGTAGGGGGGCGGGACCCGACCACCGCCCCACCCCGAGGAACGCCAGCCAGTTGCGGGGGGTCGGCTCGCGGTGCGGGGTGAGCCCTGGGCACCTCCCCACCTCGGGGGTGGGCTGCAGCCCGCCAGGCGCCGGAGGGACGGGCGGGAACCCCTGGCCCACTCCAGCACCGCGGACCGCGCCCCCGAGCCCGGCCCGTTCCGCGCGCGGCCCTTTTTCCGACCCGAAGCACCCGCCCGGACGCGAGCGGCCGGGACCCTCCGGAGAAGGCCGCGGACAGGCCAGGGGTGACCCAGGGGCGCGGAGCGGGCGAGCGCGGTCACGGAGCCCTCGCGGCAGCCAAACCAGCCGCCGGGGAAGCAAAGAGAAGCCGTGGCTTCGCCAGCCTCAGGCTCCCCGGTGGAGGCCGGAGAGCGGGTTTGAGAAGCCGCCGGGAGCGGCGTTCACCGCGGTTCTCAGCCCAAGAGGCGAAACCCATCGCCGTGGATCACTACGAATATTGACTTAATTTTTACGGCCTTCAACCCGTCACCTTTCCGCGGCGGAGGGGTACAGGGGACCCCGGTGTCAGCCCGAACTTAAGGCGCAGGGCGAGACCCCGATTCCCGCCGCGTCCCCAAGCTTTCCAGGGACAGAAAATGGCCCCAGCCTGGTTTTTGAGGGCAGTGATGTGGAGTGGCCATTCTCCGAGGGCCTCAGTCCGCTCTTGGCGGCGCGCAGAGCCGTGAGGGCGCCTGGCTGGCCCCTAGCCAGCGCCCTGGGCCTGTGGTGGAGGGGTGCGCCCCGGCCGCTCCCCGCCCGGCGCGGCGTCCGCCAGGCCCGGCCTCTCTCGCCGGTCGCCCGCCAGTGAGCGCGCCCGCCCGGTAGGCCCGTTGGCGTCATTTCCTCGGGGAGGCCCTCCAGGCCCCAGGCCGCTGCCGCTGCAGGGGAGGCCTCTAGAGACACGCCGTCCCCACCCCGCACACCGGGGCCGCTCCGTTCCCGGGCCGCATAGGTGCCAGGGCCCCTGGCACAACTGTGGCCGGTGGCCTGGATTCCCGGGCCTGCGGGCCAGGGCAGCTGCCGCCTTCCGGCGGGGCGGCGATACCTCCACCCGGCACTCTAGCCCTGGGGAAGGAGCCCTGGGTGTTGAGAGCAGGGCACGCCCCTCCATACACCTTTCCACCAAAACAGGTGTGACACCCCTGTCTACCTTTTCCAAAAGCTCATGGTGGGGATGACAGACACATCGGGGAGGGACCCACTGGCCTTGGCTTCACACACCTGAGGGGGAAGTGAAGCTCCCCGGGAATTGGGGGGCACCTTCAGGGAGCCCTACATACGAAGGGGCTCAAGCCCCCAGGCCCACCCCCAGCTGTGCTGGCCCTCTGCCTCTGGAAGCTGCAGGAGTGGAGGGCCCGGGGGTACCCCAGCTTTGCAGACACCACATCACTGCCGGGTTGGCCCCTGCCCTCTCTGGGCTCGGTGCCCCCTCCTCCCCGACCCCAGGACGCTGGGCGCCCCCTGAGAGCCCAGCCAGAGGAGGCCCAGGCCCCAGAGACAGGCCGAGGGGAGGAAGATAAACAAGCAGCGCTTGATGGCCGCTGTCATCATGGCCGTCATCATGGCTTTCATTTGGCTGCCTAATGAGTCACATCACAGGCAGAGAGAAAAATTGTCAATCGCCCGGGCCCTAATGAATTTTTTTGCAAATTGTAATCAAGCCAGGCCGTCTCAGCTGGCTGATTAATGAGACCCACGAGGCTCGGCCAGCACCTCCGCTTTTTATTCCATCCCGTCCTCCCTGCACTAAATTAACAGCAACTTGTCTGAGCTTCAAATTAACTCCCAATGATTAATTCTGATGGGGGGGCCTGAAGAATAGCTTGTTCTAATAGGCTCTGGCCTGAGATGCTGTTGGAAATTAATACACTTCCCCTTTGGCTGCCGGCTTTAATCCAAGGTTGGGTTTTGACATCACTATATTTGTTGTTACAATAAATTCCACTTACATCTGCAGATCAAATAATTACGCTTAGGAGAGCCACGGACCTGCGCCCCCCCCGCCCCGCGCTAGAGCTCCTGGGGGCTGTCTCCACCCTGGGTCCACCAGCCGGGGTAGGGGTCTGAAGTGAGAGGGGGCTGCAGGAAGAGACACTAAATGGTATGAACCCCAGCCCTAGCCCCTCAGAGAACTGGGTACCCCTGGCCTTTGTAGAACCAAGGGTGCTTTGAAAACCTGAAGCCACATCTCCACTTTCGGGGGCAGGGCCCTCTTAGATTGGTCTCGGGGCTCAAATAACCTCCTCCCCTATGCTCCCCGCAGGACCTGGGAGTACCCCTCAAGTCAGCATCTTGGGCCACCAGTGCTTGGATTTTCCCAACCCCAGCCCTTGCTGGAATTTTGGAGACAGCACAGGCTTCTGTGCCGTTTTCCCCTCCAGTCCTCAGGCCCAGGGTGATTCTTTGGCAGGGTCTTTTCAGCTAAAGGGGGTGAACTGGAGTGGGGTGGGGTGGGGTGGGGAGGCCTCCCAGGCCTCTGGAGACCATGTTTGCCTGGCTGGACCATCCAGATGCCATGATTCTCCACGTGCTGGCCTGGCCACACTAGGTGTGTAGCTGCCGCAAGTACCTGCCTTGCAAGATGCCCTTTCTCTTGGGGTCAGCGCCTGCTCCTTCTTGCATCTGTTTGTTGGAGCTTAATTGACTTAATCATTTCAACTGTGTCTGGCAAGCCTAGCACGGGCTTCTGCGGCTGCTCCCTCTGTCCACAGGCCTGTCCCACACGGAGACACTCTCTGTCCCCCCTTGGCAGAGGACTCTGGTGAGTAAGAAGCCAGCAGGGACACTCTGGCAGCCTTAGTATCTGATCACCACCTGATTCTCACCTCAGGGCCTTCTCAGCTCCATGTGGAAATCCTGAGTGGAGGTGGGGTGAGGTCCTGAGTGGTTGGAGCACTGTGCATTTCATGGCCTTGGTGGAAGTGTCAATCTTGGGTGACCTACACAGCCTAATGGCCTGCTAGCACCCAGCCATGGCCTCCCTGGAGAGGATGCTCTTATGTACGCACCCTTATTTCTGTCCCGGGAGACCCCAGGCCTCTGCTCAGACACTCATGACTGGAGCAGGCGGTCTGCTTGGATGCTCTGATGTGCCAACCTTTCCCAGACAGGCAGGGTGCAGCGGGGCCTCATCTTGCCAAAGCTGAATGCCAGGCTCTGGGGTCTAGCCGGGAGCCGAGGTCTGGGGTCTACCAGGAAGGAGGTGCCTGGGCAAAGGGAGGTGGCATTAATCTTCATTTCAGGCCCTTATGGTGTAAACAGGAGAAATATGATCTTGGTAACCGAACGTGAATGCAAATCACACCGTCAGAGTAATAAAGCGCTTGAAACTCCGACACACAAAAGCAACACCATATGTATGAAGACAACCTGCATAAATTATAAATCACATCATAAAAATTGATTGCCTATTTGAACAGTTCAGAAGTGAAAGACCTAAGCTGACTTCCGCCCTCTCTGGCTTTGGGGCAAGGTCAGGGAGCACATGTTTGATGGGCTTTGGACCAGGGTACCCGGGCCCACTGTGGACGCAGGGCGTGCACGGCTGGCTCTGCGCCACCAGGAGGGCACAGGCCCGAAACTCTGGAAGCCCTCCGGGACTCGGTGCCCACGGAGATCAAGGCCTGGTCTGGCCGCTCCACCAGACCAAGGAATGCTGCCCTTCCAGCCGGCACATGGTGCTGCCCACTCAGACTGCCAACTCGGATGCAGAGGTCCCTGCTGAGGGCCGCCCTCCCCACAGAGTTAGCAGCGTGATGGATAGGGTGTGCATGCAGGCAGCTGTGCGCATGGAAGAGTGTTAGTGTGTGTGCAGGTGTGCAGTTTCCCTCTCAAGTCTAACCCCGCCTGGCCGGGTCTGTTGGTTTTCCTGGATCGCGGGTATCCAAGAGCCGGACACTCCGGAGGAGCCGTTCCCAGGCGCCTGGCACACAGCATCTTCCACCTGGAGAAGCCGGGCCTGCGTCCCTGAACTCTGCCGGGCTCCTGTCCCACCGCGCGGAGGTACCCGGAGCTGGTCTGGGTTCCCCACTTCCTACCCTCCAGCGCTCTCCCGCCAACCTCCAGGGTGCGGCGTCCCCCTTTCTGGTCTCGGCCAGTCACCCTTCCCCACCCCCACTCCGCCTCTGGGGTCTCCCCCGGGGTCTTAACTCTGGGCTGCTTCCCTCCCCACCCCGAGGTCCACCCTCGCCCCGACCGCCAGGAGCTCCCCCCAATACAAGTTTGGGGCCTGGCCTGCTCGCCCTCCACTGCCTGGGGCAACCCCGCCCCGGAGCCGGGCCGCCCACTGCGCCAGGCGGAGGCCCACTGAGCCAGGCCGGGGCCGCTGGGGGAGACGCTGCCAGACCGCGAGGAGGCCCTGGGCCTCGAGGGAGAGAGGAAGGAGGCCGGGATCTACCCGAGGAGGCAGGGAGGCGGTCGGGGGGTAGAGGATGCCGTCATCCCCACCCCCGGAGACCTTGGCGGGGACGCTGTCCCGGGTCCGGAGCTCGAAATTGGAGGAGTGCCCCCCGCCCAAAGCGTGGCCGCGGCTGGAGAGCGGCCTAGGGCCCCGGGCCAAAGCCCGGGGCAGGGTCCGGTCTGGGAGGCAGATGTCTCGCTGGGCGCCCCCGGCACCCCCCCCCCTCCGCCCCGCATCTATTTCCCGCCACTGGACCCGTGCCTTTGTCAGGCCTGTCCGGCTCTGGTTTGGCCGCGCGCCCTCTTAAAGGGCCCGGCCCCCCGGCTCGGGCTCCACGGCCGCCCGAATGACAAAGGCCGAAAAGGGATTACACCGACCTGATCCCATGAAGCCCGCCCCCCGCCCCCGGCCCGCGCTCCGGCGGCCTCACCCCCGCACGTTCCTCTCTGCCCCTCCCCAGCCCGACTTCCGCCCGCGCACCTGGCTCGGCGGGGACCGTGAAGCCCCCTGAGCGCCCTGGGGGTTTGGAAGTGGCCGCCTGATCTCAGGGAGGGAGCGCGGCCCGGCTCTGAATGACAAAGCGCGGCCCGGCCACCCCGCGGAAGGAAACCAAGAGGGGCTGCCCCGACCCAGCTTGGAGGGGCCTCCCTGCGGCCCGGTGGGGGCGGGGATGCGCAGCCTGGCTGTCATAAACCACGGCCTGGTGGTCTGGAGGGAAGTTGTCCCGAGCATCTCTCCCAGGGGGCCAGCAGAGTAGCTGGGGCCTAGGGTGCACGTGGGAACAGGAAGGACTCACCCCTGCATCCAGGGCTTCACCCGCCCACTCCTCACACCCGCTGGGGGACCACAGCCAGACTAGGGAAGTGGACCCTGTCAGGAAGACACTTGCAGTGGGGCCTGGATCACTCAAAAACCTCATCTCTCTCTCCAAAAGCTTTGGGCCCTGAGGCCAGGGCCACTGGCTCACACACCCAGCCTCCTGGGTCAGGGGTCAGAGGCCAGGGAACAAGGACTGGCCTTTTGGGGAAGGCTGGTGATGGGCAACTGTCGGGGAGACAGAGCTTCCTCCAGTCTTATTGGTGGACAAGGGGTGATTGGGGGTGAGGCAGGGCTGGAGATACCTGACCCCTTTTTTGAGTTTTCCTGTTTTGTTCAAGTAGAGAGTCCATCATCTGACAAGGATGAAGCTGAGTAGGTCTTGCAGAGAGGGGGTACAGAGCAGCACAGAGAACGCTGGAGGGGAACCAGATCTTAATGGTAACCCCCTTAGCTAACCTTGGGCTTCCCTGTGGCTCAGTGGGTAAAGCATCCGCCTGCAGTGCAGGAGACCCCGTTTCGACTCCTGGGTCAGGAAGATTCCCCTGGAGAAGGGAAAGGTCTACCCACTCCAGTATTCTGGCCTGGAGAATTCTATGGACTTAGTCCATGGGGTCGCAAAGAGTCTGACATGACTGAGCAACTTTTGCTTTCTTTCACTAGCTAACCTTGACCAAACCAGCACACCCCACCTCCCTCCCCTCGACGCTCCCACCCCCCTACTCCCCCCATCCCCCACTCCTCCCACCACCCCCCACGCCCCCCTCTACCCCCACATCTGAACCTTTGTGTCTTCTCCTGATGACCTGGCACAAGGTCCCAGACTTCAGGATGCCTTGGTTTCTGAGGAGGTTAGCGATAAAGCACAGTTGATGTGCGTGGCAACATCAGGGCTGCCGCAGCAGCCTGCCTGGGGCCTCAGTGCACAGCTTTGAACTCAGACCATCTGGGTTCCCACCCTTGGGGGTTTAACTCTCTGACCTCAGTTTCCCCGTCAGCATCAGCAGGGCTGATCCAAGGGCCTGATGTGGGCTCAGGGCGCTGGACAGCACGGGGCACACGGTTGGCATCATGAGTCACTGTTTCCATTTTTATTGGAACAGAAGCAGGCTCCCCAGCTGAAGGCCAGGCAGAACCAAGGGCTGCGTGGACACATCTGCCTCTGCAGCTGCCCCTCTGCGGGGTGACCTCAAGTGCCTCAGTGAGCCCCTTCCACCTGTCCAACCCGGCTTAGTCCCACCACGGCCAAGGCCGTTCACTGTTCAATCCTGTCCTTTGTGGAGATGGCTTGGAATCAGCGGCTCTGTCTTCACTCACTTGACAAAACAGGTTTAGGTCCTGCACAGGTGCCTTCTGCCCTCAAGGAGCCCAAAGTCCGTGGGGGGAGAGAGCTGCCTGGGCTGGGACCACCCAGGGCAGGAGGGACCGCTTCAGCCACGAAGACAGTCTCAACTCAGACTTCTTTCTTGAAACCAAATGGCTTCAGTGATCCACATGTGCTAGCTGATGGGATCTGCTGTGATGGCAGCTAAGTGACAACTTAGACCCGAAGTCGGGGGTCCCTGGGGTGGGCCTGAGGGGAGGCAGGAGTCCAGCTCTAGTTGTTCTGCACAAAGCCCGACATCGGCGGGTCTCAGCAGCTGTGTCGATTACGAATAATGATGTGACGTCTTGTTTCAGAAGAGGTTTCATCATGCCTCATATTTGTACAATTCCTCCTCGGCACACTCATCTTCCTCCAGAGGGGCCTGGTGGGATGACTAAGAAAGCTTCCAGGAGCCCCAGCCCTGTAAAAGCTAAGATAAGCTTTTAAATGCATTGTTGTTGCCATCTTTAATCAGAAAATCTCCGAGTTGGGTGAAATCCAGCCACACTCAACATTTGATTTTATACTAACTTGGGACACTCGGCCACCCACGTGCAGAAATAGCATAGACCTTCATGTGATCATTCAGAATATTTGTGTTACCAAAGCTGTCATTTTCACATACATGTATGTGATGATTACTTTTGGGCTTTAGACTATGGATCATTGAAAAGTGTTTATCAGTAGTTTTGAAGTGGATTTCCATTTTCCATGACCATGGCTGGAATTTTTTCCCCAATAATTTTCATACTTCAGGATTTTGAGAGCTATAAATTGGGAGAAAAGAATGATAATTGCCCATCTCTAAGTGAGAGATTGTTAATTTGGGATTTACAAAGGACTTTCCTTCATGAATAATGGTGAAGACAAATTTGTCTTCCTGCCTCATTTTGCAAAGTCACATTTGTAAAGTCAGGAGGTTTCCATTCTTCCCTCTAATTACACTTTCAGTTCTGCAGTCCAGTGGCGGCCACCCAGGATCGACATGAGTGGACCAGAGTGGTACCCTGAGTTCCCAAGAGCATCTTGGACCTCTGCCATCTCCTTACCCCAGCACCATCTGCAGTCCAGAGCGTCTCTACCCAGGGTCTTGGCATCACTACCAGGTAGTTCTTTGTGGTATGGACTGTCCCACGAATGTCAGAGATGGGACCCAGTTAAATGACAGCCAAAACTGCCCTCCAGGAGACTGGAGCTGTCCCTAGTTAGGAACACTTCTCCTGGGCAGGGGACCTGACAGACCCCTGGGTGAAACACCCGCCCTTGGGCACTCAGTGCCAAAGGGGAAGACAGCTTGTCCCAGTGTGGGGAGACCGGTGTGCCCTGATGTTCGTGGCAAGACCCTCATCCCCAGCCGGTATGGGCAAGAAAGGTACGCAGGGCAGAGGACCTGGGCGGAGGCTGCCCCATGAGCAGACATTGACCAGAGCCTGCCGTGGAGCTGCTGCCAGCCCCCAGGACTGCCGGCCAGCTCAGCGCTGCTCACATCACCAACTGCCTACAGCTCAGCGCCCTGAGGGCTCACCTGGTTCCTCCGCTGCTCTGGTGCCCTCTGGGCTCCAGGATCTGCTTCTGCATCTGTGAGAGTGATGCTGGTCACTTGCACGCAGCAGTCACAGCCAACCGCAGCTGGGGACAGCCACACGGGATCTCAGAGCTCCAGGCACCCGGGCTGAGCGCTGACAATGAACGTGGGCAGTTTCACCCCTGGGAGTTCTCTCTTCCCAAGTCACCTTCCTTCTGCAGAGGTTGCCCGGCACTTCAGTGGTTCCGCACCCCATCCCTTGAGCTCTGTGTATCTTAGGGGCACAAGACCTTCACGGGGGTCCACCCTGGCAGCCCAGAGCTCTTGAGGGGTCTCTGCCGACCTTCCTCCCCTCTTGGGCTTCTCCAGTGCTTCCTCAAAATGAATGAATGAATGATAACAGTAATTATTAATAATAATCATTCTTTTCCCCTGATACTACCCAGTCACCAAAGAAATGGAGGGGTTTGCAGACAAACTTGGAGATGTTTAGCGAAGTCCTTGGTGAGACCAGAGACCACAACCAGCGTGTCATTCAGTCCTTGAAGCCCAGCATCCACCAACACCCTAGCGCTGCCATTGCTTCAGCTGAAAGAATTCAATGGTCCTTCCAGTAATGTTCTCATTGACACTGTCTCTTCTTGGCTGGACCGTCTTGGTCTTGAAATGATGATTTAGTCAGATGAGCACATGTCCCCTCCAGCCCCCTGGTCAGACCCTCCAGCCCAGATGGGGAGAGTTCCAACTCCTCCCTCTCCTCTCCCTATAACCCCGCTGAGAGCTGTCAGAGGGGACTGGAGTCCCTGGGGGGCCAGTGCGTGGCTGGCGAGAGGACAGGGATGCTAAAGATGTCCGTGCTTTCCAAATTAACTGCTCATGTCAAGGCAATCCCAATCAGAATCCCAGCAGGATGATCTGAAAAGTTACTAAATGATTCTAGAGTACCTCTGGAAGACAGATAAACGGATGTGGTTGGGGAATTACTTTTGGTCATTTTATTTATTTATTATATAGAAATAAACTGCAACTTTGTCAGAACTTATTGCCTGAATGTGTATTAATGTATTAACTACATTTTTTAAGGTAAAGTTGCTATGGCATGTAGTGTATGTATAGAAAGTGAGAAGAAATGAAGATGCAGCAGATTAGATAGAATTTAGCATCAGGTTAGCTTTGAAAAACCATGTTGTCATATATGGATTTTAGCACATGCCACCCTTTAAAACCTCTTCTGGAGGAGATCAAATAGCTGTAACCTGGTTAATTTCAGGCAATGGATATTTTGGACTAATATGGACAACATAAATATGTTTTAGGGCTAGTGGATATACGGCATAAGGATTGATGAGAAAAATGAAAACCTGAGCTTTATAGTTTACAATCCATAAACCATTTTATAGTGTTCAAAGATAAGATTCCATTATTGATAACATTAAATACAGTTACCCTGAACATTGATGGGTCAAAACATTTCACTCGATTATGGAATGTTAACACAGGACTTGTTTTGATTCTTGGATGGACATAATAATGCCAACTAACCTTATTTGCTTTCTTGTTTACGTGTGGGGGATTTTGTTTTTAAAGTTATTTTGTTTAA